ATATATATATATATATACACACACACAAAAGGGAAAGGGAGAAATAGAAAACAAATCAGAGATTGAACAAAAAAGATTTTTATTGATAAAGCTTTTATTACAAAAATGAAATTACAAAGTTGAAATTTTTGTGGAGAACAAATTTCTATTGCTGAAATCGCTCTGCCTTCCTTCTTATAGAGAAATCCGAACTTTAAACAATTCTTCATTTTGCTTGAGTCTTGAAACATCTTGATGTAATGTTGAAAAGCAGCGCCTTCTTTTGAATAATTGATTCATCTTTTGAGAAGTGGGAAACAACATCTTGAATTTTTCTCATCACTTTTGACTAATTTTATAAAAGTAGAAATTTTACTTTAATAAAGTTAATTTTGGCCAGCACATCTTGAAAAAAATGCCTTTTGATTTAGCAACCTGGTAATTTCTGAATTCTTCAAGAAAATTGGGTTCTTGTAGTCATTTGATTCTTACAGCCTTTTCATGTGTAAGAAAATCAACATAACCTAAAACAATTAGCTCATCACTATTGTTTGTCTCTTGAGATACTTGATCTGAGTTTTGAGTGCTTGATTTTTTAAACCCAGTTTTAGAAATATGTTCATAAGTTTCTAATAATTCTTTCGGATCTTTGCATTTTGATAACATTGAGATAATGTTTTGTTTTTCAGTTAAGAAAATTAGGCTGATTTTCTTGTTCTTTCTTTGAGAATTTTGGGACTCCAAAATTTCTTTGTTCTTGAATCAATGATTGAACTGCTTTTGGACAGCAATTTGCTTCCCTGAATTTGGACCACCATTTGACTTTGAATCTTCTAATAATCTTTTGAGCAAAGAATACATCATTTTGATTCTGAATCAGAAAGAAATCCCAGCAAAAGATCCAGGAAGCTTTCATATTGAAGGCAAATTGAAACAAAACATTTTCATGAGGCTTTAAAAATGTTTTTGCCTCTCTTTTGAAGTATTCATATTCTTGAAGAGTAAGACTGAACAAAATTTTCTCTTTAAGTCCATGATACAAAAATCAAGTTTGAAACCATTTTGGAAAACGAGGATGTCAATTTTGATTGAAAAGAATGAACCAAGAATGAGTAACAGGTCTAAAGAAAAAAACTCTGTACCAAGCATTCAAATAATCAAAATAATTGAAATATTCAAAAGTTGAAAATTTTGTTGAAGAAAACTTGAGTCTTTTTTCTTCCCATAGGTCTTGTCCCCAGTCTTCATAGGACAATACCCTAAAGATACTGATTTTTGAATACATTGTTTCTGATTTATTTTGAGGATCTGGAGTATGAAAAATTATGGCTGATCCTATTTTTGAAATGATAGTTTCATAATAATCTCGAAATTTTTTAACATTTGATGGCATAAACCAGAAATCTTTTCGAAAAATGTTTGGAATACATTCCTCCAAATTTAAGTATCTATTAAGCCAAGATGTTTCCATATCAAGGTAATTTTCAAAGATGCTTTTGGTGAAATATTGAAAATTTTGAGGTAGGTTTATTTGAGGAAGTTTTCCAGAATTTTGGACGGCTTTTTTGTAATTTGAAGGTGTAGCTTTTTCTTTGAGTTTATTTTGATCAGGTTTTTTGATAAAGGTAGAAAGGGTATTTGAGGAAGATAAAGCTTCTTGAGCTTCTTTTTAGGAATGATCTTTTGAGAGATCATTAATTGAGAAAATTGGAGTATAATTTTTCTTTCTACTTTGCTTCTTTTGGAATAGATTTTGATCTTCTTCTTCAACTTGCTTCGCCCAACTCATTTTCACTCTTTTTATGAATGAACTCTCTTTTGAGGAAGTCTGTTAAGAAGTTTGATTTCCCTTGTATATAAATAATTTCAAAATCAAAACAGGACAAAATAGTCTGCCATCTTACAAAAAATTTGTTTGAAAACAAGATTTTTCACATCTTTTTGGAAAACATCTTTTGAGGCTTTGCAATCAGTTTTTAAAATAAATTTTTTGTTGATAAGATCGTCTTGAAATTTTGAAATACACAGTACTATTGAAAGAATTTCTTTTTTAATAGTAGAGTAATTCTTTTGAGGGCCGGTCTACACACCACTGTGGTACCTAACTAACTGTTCTTGAGATGACTCTAGTGTGATTTGTGTTAAAACATCACCATATCCAATATCCGAAGCATATGTCTCAATAATAATTGAGGCTGTGGGGTCAAGGATTGAAAGACAGGGAATATTTTTTATTGCTTTTTTGATTTTTTGAACTGCAACTGTGTGCTCGTGACTCCATGGGTCAGGATTGTTTTGTAACCTTTTGTATAATGGAGCGAGATTTGACGTATACTTTTGACAAAATCAGCCACATAATTGACACAACTTAAAAAACGTTGCAAACTTGTTTTATCTATGATTTCATCTGAAAATTTGTCAATGAAATCAAGACTTCTTTGAATTGGAGTTAAAGTGCCAGAATGAATATAATGTCCAAGAAAATAAAATTTTGTTTGAAATAAAACAATTTTCTCAGTAGAAACTATTAAACCATTTTTCTTAATAATATGAATGAATGTATGTATATGCTTGAAATGTTGCTCTATATTTTCAGAAAATATAAAAACGTCATCTATATAAACAATAATGAAATTTGAAAAATGATTAAAAATATCATTCATAATTTTTTGAAATTCAGAGGGAGCATTTTTGAGATCGAATGGCATAAAATTTCATTCGTATTGTCCGAAAGGAACATTGAAAGCAGTCTTATATCTGTCTTCTTCTTTAATTTGAATTTGCCAGAAACCTGACTTCATATCAAATTTTGAAAAGATGACAGCTTTGCAAAGACAATTCAAAAGATCTTTCTTTTGAGGAATGTGATATATAATCCATTGAATAACAGTATTAAGAGGTTTATAATTGATAACCAAATGAGAAACTCCTCGTTCAATTTCAGCAGAATTATTGACATAGAAAACTGAACAGCTCCATGGAGATTTACTTGGTTTAATAAACATTTTTTCAAGTAAATCATCAATTTCTTTGATGCAAAAATCAAGTAACTCTTTGTTCATTTGAATATAACGAGATTTTGTAGGAATATTTGATTCATGAAAATCAGAATTGTAAGGAAGATAAACATGTTTCTTTCTATCACAGAAGGCATTTGGAATAGTTGAAGAAATTTCTTTTTCAATTTTATTTGTAGTTCTGAAATTTTTACTTGAAAAAAAAATTCTTGCAATCTTTTCTCCATTTTTTGAAATTGAATTTCTTCTTTAAGAAATTGAATATGATTTCTTTTCGAATTAATATTATTAATTATTTTTGAAATTGCAGCTTCTTTTAAAGAATTGATATCTTTATAAGAAAGAGGATTTGTAAATTCAAAAAATATTTTTTGATCAAAAACTTTTGTAGTTAATCCTTTAGCATCATCTTTAAGGGATAAATTTGAACAATAAAAGGAGTTTCAAGAATAACTTCTTGATATAAATCTTTTACAATATAAAAAATATTTTTGAAACAAATATTTGAATTACAAACATGAGCTTTTGAAATTTTATAATTAATATTAGACTTTTTTATACTAGCACCATAAAGACACTCAGTAGTTTTTTCAAAATATTTTGTAGGAATCAAGCATTCTTTAATACAATTTTGATCTGCTCCAGAATCAATAAGGATACGAGTTGTCAATTTGAATTCTTTATTTACAACAATAGTCATATTGCAATACCATTTTTTAAGTTGAATTCGGTTAATAACATTAACCTTTTCTTCTTCAGACTTAAGAATTTTGAAATCAGAATCTAATAAGCAATCAGATGATGATTTAGAGTGTTTTGAAGATCGCTTAGAAGAAACTTTTGATTTTCCTTTGAATTTTGAATAAAATTCATCATTTAA